AATTGTCAGAGCTGATGGGCATTGCATGCATTCATGGAAAGGTAACACGCACGGAGCAAACCCCTTGCGTGCACCTGGAAAGGGCTCCCATATGCCTGGAAGTCCCAAACAGCAAACCTTACAGTGCCTCACGGAGCATGAAGTCAGAGTTGGAAGGATGGATAGAGCTAACGTCCCTACAAAAGCATGGGCAGACCATAGGCTGTCCTTGTCAGCCCCAAAATCTCCCATTTCACCAAGCCAGGGGGGCTCTCGGGTCCCTCCTCCTCTCTCTTTCTGCTGTTTCACAACCATGTACTGAAAATTTTGAGATCAGCAGTAAGTTTTCATCATTCACAGCTTTTGTCTGAACTTCTAGACATTAAATATTCACACTTGTGACATCCTCTTAGCTCATCCCCGACTTCACACCCATTCCCTTCTCATCTGTCTTCTGCAGGTTTTATTTTATTGGTGCTTCCTTTTATCTAAGGTTGTTTGCTTGTTTGTTTTGCCTGTGACATCCTCTTAGCTCATCCCTGACTTCACACATATTCCCTTTCTCATCTGTCTTCTGAAGATTTTATTTTATTGGTGCTTCTTTTTATCTAAGGTTGTTTGCTTGTTTGTTTTGTTTCTGTCCTTATTCCTATTTTTCCTCACCAAGTAGGGACCAGGAGCTTGAGAAGTGCCAGGGGGACATCCACGGTACTTGTATTTAGCCACTAGGTGGCACTACAGAACCCTTTATCCAGAAGGCTACATGATTGCACAGCAGGTACCACACCCCAGGCTATCAAAATAACGGTTGATGGAGTGGGGCTAGAACAAAAAAAATATAGGAAGAGAGAACTTTTTAGAAGGAAATATTCAATATATAATACCCTTGAGTATGAGGTTTTCCTACTAGACAAAAAAAAATTATCTTGGGATCCACCGTTGTATATACAACTTCTGTAGCACACAAAGGAAACACTAGCGATGCCAGACCACGAGAAATCACTCTGCCAGAAGAAGAGCCACAAGAAAGGGAGAGAACATGAGCAAAACCAACACCAACATCAAGGGAAAGGTATGTCCTGTGCTCAGGCAAGAAAAACAGGAGGCAGATAAAGTCTAAGTTGAGGGCCAGATGGAAGCCGCACTAAACTGATTAACGGGATGGGAGAGGCCAGTAGGTTTTTTAAGCAAAAGGGAAGTGGCAGGCTCAGCCAGCCAGGCTCACCCCATGGGTGTCTGTGGGATGGCTGGGGGGTTTTCTGGGACCACCCATCCACAGGTCCCCAGAAAAACGTCAGCAGCTCATTGGAGCTATTGTGGGTAGTTGCACAGGAGCCTGCGTGGCCAGCAGAGCAGGGAACACGCTGGCAGTCTGGAAACTGGAAATAAATAAAAGGTGCACTAATTTAAGTTGAACCCTGCACAAATCCTGTTTTTTCACTCAAATTGAAAAAAAAAAACCAAACAACTCTCTTCACTGTTTGTGCTTTGGCTGCACCTTCAGAGAGAAGGTACTAGAGCACACATCTGCCCAGCCACCATCACCAGCAGCTTTAACGATGACCTGAATTGCAGATAAATTCAAATTAATAAAAGGGATGAAATTACACTGGAATAATGAAACTGCCTTAATCCCTGTATCAACACTCATTCCACATTCATAGAGCTTTAGCTGCAATCACTTAAAGCGCATTAAGCTACACCAAACAAAGGCTGTGTCAATTCCAAATGAGGGGGTCACTGAGATAAAGTAACATAATTTATTAGTTTCACACTGTTTTGTCAATCAGTTATGTTTAAGACAACCAAATTCAAACCAAAATTTTCCACTCAGGAATTTAATGCACCTCATTAATGGGTTTTTAATTCAAAACTTGTTTTCTGATTCTTTGTCTTGAGGACAAGCCCTACCTGCCATGATATTCTTCTTGGCAGTTGCAAAAGAGTGATTATGCAAAACCCAAGAAGACTAAAATACTCTCTTGCATTTATTAGTTTCACACTTTTTTGTCGATCTGTTATGTTTAAGACAACCAAATTCAAACCAAAATTTTCCACTCAGGAATTTAATGCACCTCATTAATGGGTTTTTAATTCAAAACTTGTTTTCTGATTCTTTGTCTTGAGGACAAGCCCTACCTGCCATGATATTCTTCTTGGCAGTTGCAAAAGAGTGATTATGCAAAACCCAAGAAGACTAAAATACTCTCTTGCCTTTAGTCATGTTGTTTTTCAGCACAGTGCAAGGAGGATGGTGAAACTGGCCTGGACAATGACAGTGCAAGTTGTTACATCAAGTTTTTGTCTCATTCTCATGTACCTATTATTTAAAGGACAGTATTTCCATTTGCTGTGCTGCCAATTTAACCACATGGCACTTAAGTGCTGGGGCATCTCTAAGCTAAATAACATTATATGCATTAGGAGTTATAAATCCTCCAAATTGTAGGTGATGACTCCAAAAAGGTTTAAAAAAAAAAATCTCTGGCAAAATTAATTTAACTGGAACCTGATAATGCTTTTAAAGCTAAAAAAAATCTCTGGCAAAATTCATTTAACTGGAACCTGATAATGCTTTTAAAGCCCATGAAACTTTCCTCACTTACTTTAAAGGATTGATTTCTGGCCCTTATAACCTGAAAAGAAAATGTCCACATCTTCCTGTTTTCCTGAACTTTCTTTTCTTTGGCATCTAGAAACACAATGTTTTTACTAAAACACCCGCAACATATTTTGCCACATACTGTAGCTATGCAACTATAGCCTATATACAGTGGCTCAGAGGTAGATGGAATCAGCACTAACGCATCTCGCCAGCTGATCCACAAAACCACTGTGCTGGAAAAAGGAATTAGTCCCTTATAATCACAAGAGATCATTTTCTGACTGAAACTTTGAGAACCTGGTAAAACCGACACAAAACTTACTTTAGTTCCTTTATGCAATCATTTTAGAAATTTTCCAAATATATTTCTATCCATGATTTCCTGGATTAATGTATCTGACTGAATGAAGAAACCGACACAAAACTTACTTTAGTTCCTTTATGCAATCATTTTAGAAACTTTCCAAATATATTTCTATCCGTGATTTTCTGGATTAATGTATCTGACTGAATGAAGAAAATATATTCATTTTAGTCCATTTTAATACTGTGCTGTTCCAAAACAGCCTCAGGCAGGGAGTGATGCTGAATGAGAGTGAGGTCAGTGGAGACTTGCTCCCTTTTCACTTTGCTAATCACGTCACTCTCATTTTGTGACTGTTTTTCTGATGTGACAGCTTGGGGCCAAAACAGCTCGGGGAAAGCTGCGCTCCGCTAATACAGCCAGAAAGGTGCAAACGGGTAGCGACCAGTGGGAAACTCGTTTGATAGCCAAGAAAATACCATGTGTAGCTAAACGGATCACACTTTTCCTTCCTCGCAGTCGTCTCTAGCCCCACGCCGGCCTGACCTCTGCCCGAACACACGCTGCTGCCAGTGCACCCACCGCGGGCAGCTGTAATTCAGTGACAGGTTGTGACTCTGTACACAGTGGGAGTTTCTGCAGAATTTGAAAATTCATACCATCACCAGTGATGGATTTATCAGCACAGTTATCAAGGCCTCTAAAAAAACCAGACAGTTAAGGGAAGATAAGGCAGGCAATAAGAAGCCCAGCGTAACTAGTGGCTTTCCAAGCACAGGCGTGCTTGAGTAAACACCAGCAGGAACCAAATTCTGATAAATTCACTAAGAAATCAGAGAGTGATACTGTCAAAGGCAATGCCTGAGAATTATGTGAGCATTAAAGGTACAGCCGATATGGCAATGTGCTTCGATATCCTGCACTCTAATTGGAAGTGAGGACAGAGACGACCAGTGGGAAACTTGTTTGATATCCAAGAAAATACCATGTGTAGCTAAACAGATCACACTTTTCCTTCCTCGCAGTCGTCTCTAGCCCCACGCCGGCCTGACCTCTGCCCGAACACACGCTGCTGCCAGTGCACCCACCGCGGGCAGCTGTAATTCAGTGACAGGTTGTGACTCTGTACACAGTGGGAGTTTCTGCAGAATTTGAAAATTCATACCATCACCAGTGATGGATTTATCAGCACAGTTATCAAGGCCTCTAAAAAAACCAGACAGTTAAGGGAAGATAAGGCAGGCAATAAGAAGCCCAGCGTAACTAGTGGCTTTCCAAGCACAGGCGTGCTTGAGTAAACACCAGCAGGAACCAAATTCTGATAAATTCACTAAGAAATCAGAGAGTGATACTGTCAAAGGCAATGCCTGAGAATTATGTGAGCATTAAAGGTACAGCCGATATGGCAATGTGCTTCGATATCCTGCACTCTAATTGGAAGTGAGGACAGAGGTGACTTATCAAGAAACCACTCCCTTTCCACATACAGGACTACAAAAACAAGGGTGATTATAAGAAATGTCAGTCTCAAGGTACTGTGAGAAACGGTAATAACAATCACACAGTTTATTAATATACTGCTGTGCAGGGTAAGGATATCAGAGCACTTTGCAATATCCATTAACTTTTCACCACACCCCTGAAGTGAGGACAGAGGTGACTTACCAAGAAACCACTCCCTTTCCACATACGGGACTACAAAAACAAGGGTGATTATAAGAAATGTCAGTCTCAAGGTACTGTGAGAAACAGTAATAACAATCACACAGTTTATTAATATACTGCTGTGCAGGGTAAGGATATCAGAGCACTTTGCAATATCCATTAACTTTTCACCACACCCCTGGAGGCAATCAATAAACCAGTATAACCGGGTATGAGAAACAGAGGAAATGGAGTCACCAGAGAATCCCCAAATCCCGATCTCACTCTAAAACACAGCTGCACACTCATCCCACAGTCTCAGACAGAACTCAGGGAGTTCTGAGGGGAACTCAGACCTTACAGCTGGGCCAAGGGACGCGCACGTGGCATGCAGCCTTCATGGGAAAAAGGTTGTACAGATGGTTTCATTGAGACTGGTAACAGGTCAGGTCCTTCTGAGCCACTTACTTCATCAACAAAGAGCTGTGCAAAGGTTTGGTACTCCTCACTGCTTGTATTGCTAAAGCCTGGAGAGTATTCCACGTTTGTTATCCGTACCGTGCCACTAAGCTTCCGGACAGCTGCAAAGTAAGAAAAAGACAATTTAAATACATGTCCCATGGGCTGTGTAGTCCATGGACAAGTGTGTGACAGTCACTGGCACGCCTGGCCACGTGAGGTACGCATCAGCTCATAACAGCAGAAGGCCAGCCCTCTGAAACGCAGCCAAAACCACAAACACCTGAACATAGGCGTCCATCACATTAGTCTGCCCTCTCTGACTCTCAAGAAAGGCACCGACCTCCTGTAGGGCTTATATCTGCCAGCTCTGTCTTGGATGCTCTGGGGCATCTGAAATGCTGCTCTGTGGCTACGCGCCGGCACCTGGATTGCTCTCCTAGGCTCAGCTAGCTGTCCCAGCTCACTCTACGTGCAACGGGGCGACACCAGTCCCTCCAGAGGGCAAATCATTGCAGCACCAACGTCCTCCCTCCAGCCTCAGAGGAAGGCCAGACGGCTGCCTGAGATTAGACATCTAATTTTAGACAGCTATGGTAAGGTAAGATGAACCCCAACAGGGTGTACGCTTCCTCCCTGAAGTTGTATCTGCTGAATCACGTTAAGTCAGTTTCAAATGTTTTAGGTTCTTTCTCGGTATCACTGGTCTTGGCATTGTTCCTACAGACACTGAAGGTGATCACAAGGAGAGAAAGGGCTTCTCAAGACATGACTCATACCCCTAGCATCCTTTTAGTGGCTAGCCAGGCAAGCTTACTGCCATCACCCAATACTGTGACCATTGCCAGCCAATTGTCTTCACGCTGCCTGCCAGCTGCTAACAGACCATCACTCCTAGCATACCAAGATCTAACGTTTCAATATCTTATATGAATATAAGATAGTCTTCACCAAAGACTTCAAGAACTCTATCATCTGGCTAAGGATTTGGTTTGAAATTGTTTGTGAATCAAGTGACCGGTCTTTACTTCCTGGCGTACCAACTTGCTTTCCTCCCTGCACACTTCTGTCCTGATTTCAACAGTATAGAAAGCACCAGGTTCCAGCTCTGAGACTGTCAGACTCCTATACCCAGTTTTAGTCTTCCATTTTAGCTGCTTTTCCTGAAGCAAGAAGAACTGAAAACTAAGACTCTGCATAAACTCTGTGGATCGTGTTATATCAAAGCTGGTTCTAGTCACATTGGGGACAATAATCCTTTGAATTGGAACAGGTACTAGAGGAAAAGAAACGGTCATCAAGCAAAGCTTTACAGGGGAGAGGAGAAAGTCGTGCCTGCTTAAAGCAATCCACAGAAGGAGGTTTCCTTTATCCTAGCATACTTCTGATCCCAAGGAAACCCTCACCACCACCGCTCAGATGAAATGATTTGGCTTGCTTTTTGCTATGCCTTGTCTGTCAGATGAACATGTGTATTTAGGTGATAAACCACATTGTTATCTGATGGTGAGAGGGGGAAAATGTTCAGAACAACTTTTGAGTGAAAAATGAATAATCAGTAATTAAAAGAGATGACAGACTTCATTATGAAGACTCAGCTGAAGTTGACCCTCCGGGTCAGAGATGTTGCCACAAGGAGGAGCTATATATTAAACTTCACCAAACATGGATTTTTTTGCCCTCGAAATTTCCTGCCCCGGGCTAGTGAGATACCACTACGGTGGCTCTTCTTCTTGTTACTTTGGCATAATCCCTACACAAGCTACTTTCCCAGCAGAAGCACTTGGGTGAATATCCTCTTGTTCCCTTAGGGCATAATCCCTACACAAGCTGCTTTCCCAGCAGAAGCACTTGGGTGAATATCTAATTCATCAGGAAAAGAAAACAAGTTTTTAGCAACTGAACTTATTCGTGTAGAATTCTTCAATTTGTTTCCCAGCTGGAAGAAAATTACCTGCACATTTTTTTCAGTTAAAATTAGCTTTTTTGGTTTTGTTTTTTTTTTTTTTTAAGGGCATAATCCCTACACAAGCTACTTTCCCAGCAGAAGCACTTGGGTGAATATCTAATTCATCAGGAAAAGAAAACAAGTTTTTAGCAACTGAACTTATTCGTGTAGAATTCTTCAATTTGTTTCCCAGCTGGAAGAAAATTACCTGCACATTTTTTCAGTTAAAATTAGCTTTTTTGTTTGTTTTTTTTTTTTTTAAGAAATGAACATTTTTGCATTTTCATTTAAAAAAAAAATCCACATTGTTTTACTGCTTCCTACAATGAAAGAGGGTAGAAGGAACACAAAGCAAAGCAGTAAATGAAGCTTTTCAGTTCAGGTCAAAATGTTCTTTGGTCCAAAATTATTTGTTTCCTCCATTTGGTCACCAAGGTCCCAAATCAGTTGTTTCTAATTTGCTCTGCCAGGCAGAGCAAAGGATACAACATGAAGAAGAGAGAAGACAAAAGCTGAACAGGGGTATCAACATGACTGCCCAGAGCTTAGCAGGACTGGAAAAGTGGACACTGTGGCACTGGTGATTGGAACTGGTGGTACAATAGAGGCTGGAGAAGCAGCAGAGCTGGCCTTACACAGCTGAAAAAAGAGGTTTTACAGGGAGAAAGGAATGAGGGAGAACCAGAAGTGCAGCTGAATCAGTGGAGACCCCCAGAACAGGAGATCGTATAGGAGGGGAAGAGAAAAGAGCAGAGAGGAGTGTGGTTTGGGATCAGAGAGATGTGGAGGGCATGAGAGCCAGAATAAAGGCAAGCAGAAACACAACTGAAATACTTCAAACCGGGATAGTATCACTTACTAATACACTAAAGAAAAAATACATTTATCAATGGGCAGAGACAGCAGCATTCCTATCCCAAACAAAACTGTAATTTAAAGACCAAATTTAACTTTAACCTCAAAATATGATTCAGCTCTAAACTACAGAAAAATCCCCTAATTAGCTGCAATACATCTGCCCAAACCCAAACAGATTAATCACCCCGCCACCAGCCTAGTTACTGTCAATTGCAGCTCTTGAAAATGTGGTTCCCAGGTTTCCACGCAGCTCCTGCCCCACAGAGAATTTGTGGGGCTCTGCCTCACCCATCCTCACTCAGAGAAATAGGGAGGAAGGTCATTTGCTTTCCCAGGTAACTCTCCTGCTCCTGTAAGTACCCTGGTGCTCCGTGGAGCATGCAGGAGAAGACAAGGTGTGTGGCAAAAGGACAAGCAGCATGTTTCGATGAGCCACGCTCAGTGCACTGTATGATTTCCTTCATCTGCTTTGAGAAGAAGAAATGTAACATCAATAAAACTGACTGCCAAATTACCAGAAAGAGAAATTATTCTGACAGGCTGAATTAGGAAAAAAGTGCTGATTCCTGCAAGAAAACGGTTTTGACATAGAAAAGCTAGTTTCAGACACCTTCATCCCAGGTCACAGATTCCAGCTGTGTGTCTTTCCAAACTCTGAGTTTTTGCTTCTCATGTAGCCAAATTACCATGTGTGTAGGCCCCTGCTGAACATATACTCACTGTGGTCCACGGCTGACCCTGGCATTGGGCTGGGAGGTGGAGAGGTGCCTGGCAAAGCTGGTGACCCCAGGGCTCCAGCATGTTTCTCAGACCAAGAGCTGTTCTCTCTTCCCATCTCTACATGTGCTCTGAGAGTGGCGTTGAAGGTGGGAAGGCCAGCATGCCCTGTGACCAGCAGAGCTGTACCAGGACCACCTTGAGAGTCGGCTTGAGGCACACCAAAAGCTGTGTGACTTCTGGTGGTAGCAGAGGCTGTTTGATTTGGAAACACCAGCAATGGTGGACTGAGTGGCTCTTCCCTGGTGGTGCCCGTGGGTGCATCTGTGGGAGCAGCCCCTCGCTGCGATGCGCTGGGGGAAGCCTCTGCCACAGAGCTTTGCTGCCATGGACTTACGGCCACCTGCTGCCCGGCGTTCGTGGTCAGTTCCTTGCTGGCTGCCACCCCCATGGTCGTGGGGCTGTTGTCCCTGCTGGAGCCCATCTGTGGTGCCAGGCTTTTTTTCCAAGGGGCTGGAGGAGTGCTGGTGGGAGAAGAACTGTGGGGTGCTTGCTTGTCACCCAGGGGCAGGGCAACAGGTTGCTGTACGGCGGTGCTTGTCTTGGAGCCCACAGCAGCCACCATCTCGGTGGTGGCAGGGGAAGCAGGGCCTGCAGAGCTCACTTCTTCAGGAGCTAACTCTGTGCTGTTGGTTACTTCAGGAGCCATCGTTTCAGTGAGAGGGTCCACAATCTCACCTGCAACACAGCAAATGCATGTTGAAATGGGACCTCAGATTGGATGAGGAGGCACCAGGGGCTGATCTGAAAATGGGATTGAGACCATTCAGCCACGTAAAATAGCTTACAGAAAGAGGTCTTGAATGTTTCATTCAGGGCAATGCAGCTGGTGAGGGGCCTGGAGAGTAAGTCTCATGAGGAAAGGCTGAGGGAGCTGGGATTGGTTCAGCCTGGAGAAAAGGAGGCTGAGGGGAGACCTTATTGCTCTCTACAACTACCTGAAAGGAGGGTGTAGAGAGGCGGGGGTTGGTCTCTTCTCCCAAGTAACAGGCAATAGGGCAAGAGGAAATGGCCTCAAGTTGTGCCAGGGGAGGTTCAGGCTGGATATTAGGGAAAAAAAATTACACTGAAAGGGTTATTAAGCATTGGAATGGGCTTCCCAGGGAAGTGATTGAGGCATCATCCCTGGAGGTATTCAAAAGATGGATTCACATAGTGCTTAGTGACATGGTTTAGTGGTGGTTTCTTATCAGAGTTAGGTTGATGGTTGGACTAGATGATCTTAAAGGTCCCTTCCAACCTAGATGATTCTATGATTCTCATACATTGTAGTGTACGTGAATGTTATGGTGTTGAATCTGGTTTGTGCCTATACAAAGAAGCCCATTTGATTCCCGGGAGTCATCTTCTGGTTGGCAGGCCATGGACCATTATAGTGCAAGGAAATTAGCCACAGACATACCAAAAGAGGAAATAGTATGCCCCATGTTGCTCAGCAGTGAGTTATTAGGCTACTCAAGAAGGATCTCAGAGGGATTTCATCTGAAGATATATATAAGGTTCACCTTCACGCTCAGACACAGATCATATATACTTGTTCAGCCACAGACTGCAAAGGTGCATCTATACACATTTTCTGCTATATAAACACAGAGGTAAAAAAACACAACTTACTCCAATCTTTCATGCCAAAGGGAAACTACATGCCAGTCTTTTGCTCACCCTCACAGTTTCTTCCAGGTCGGGATGGATTGGTATCCATGGTTGTCTTGCATCTGCACAAGTACGAGCCCATCAAATTGATACACTCTGCGAACACACAGCAGTCATTCTCGGTGTGAGAAGCACATTCATCCCAGTCTGTAAGACCAAAACAGAACATCGGTCAGTCAGCCTCCCTTCTGGCTTCATTAAGCTAGAAATAATCATAAAGTAGTCCTGTCTTCAGGTTTGGAATTTATGAACGTTGCAGATTTGTACTACAGCTATATCAAAAGCATACGTTATACCAAGTTCTGTGCACAGTGCCTCCAGATACATCAGGTAATGAATAGATCTGTTACCACTAGCTACCAGTAGATAGAATATTAAATAGATACTTAATCCAAATAATCCTCTGCTTCAAATAAAAGGTAAATGCAAGTAACTCCCAGGAGAAGCACTCTTCAGTTCTTCACAGAGGAAGTGCTAAGGGCAAAAACTCTTCATAATAGAGTTCTTCTCAAAGGTAATACTGTAAAACTGTGACTCTCTCTCTGGTAGTTTCAGAAAAGAGATTCTGGTTCATCAGTGCATGAATATACTTAAAGATTCTTCCTTATGTCTAATTTCAGCTGCTCTGAATCAGTTGAGATGCTTCTTTCATGGTGTTATAGACCTATTCTATTGCCGTGTGTCTTCACTCTTGAGGGATTTACATCTGAAGTCTTGTATTACCATTTGCACTCTGTTCCAGTAATATGCAAAGACTGAGTTAATGCTTTGGACAAGAATAACCTCATGTGAACCTCCCTGTGTGCACTCCCTTGTGCACACACCTTCACTGCCTCAGGGCCATAAGTGAGGGAGGGCAAAAAACCATACTGAAGGCTGTGTCTTGGGACAAATAATTCTGAAAGTTGTTTTGAAAAATGCACTATTGTAAGTGCTTGTTCTGCAAACATGCAGAGATTAATCACTGTGACCATTTCTCCGAAACAAAGGAAAGTCCCATTCTAGAAACAGAAAGTGCAGAGCCGGTGTGTGCATGCACATACATGCATCCGTCTTTCTGCTTGCAAACAGCACTTCCCTTTTGCTTCTTCCCAGCTAATATTGCAATTCTTTTTCCTTTCTTCCTCATTAGATAATTGTTGCATCTGTGATTGTTTCCATTAGACAATTTCATGTGCCTATGGCCAGCTTATGCCTATTAACGTTATAGCCTAAGCCACTTAGAAGGAATACATTGCAGTATTGACTAAAGCACCAGCAATGAAAGCACTCTCACTAATGCCTTACTATGCTGTGAGGTAATTGTGACTCCTGATGGCTTCAAACCCCATCTGAGAGATGCTTCCGTGCTAATTGCTGAATAACTTGCGTTCACTGGCTCCATTGCCTCTGAGGATTTCCTTTCTCAGCACTTAGCATGGCTTTTTAAGCAAATTCCTTCACCTCTGGCGATCACATTCAATCACACATTGGGCCAAAACATTTACATTCTCTTCTCAGTGCTCACTGACACTAGTCCATTACTCACGCACACACAAACACACACACGGCACCTTTTTCCTCTCTAACCCTTACATCTCAGCCAAGGTGTGCTCTGTGCTCTCTGTCTGCACTCTTGGCCCCTCTCTGGCCTTTCACACTTGGCGGGTGCCTTCACTCTCTCTCTCATCCTCCCCCTTCCCCACTCCTCCACCTTCAGCCAACAGTCTCACTCCAAGAATTATAAAAAATAACCACCTTTTGTGTTCACTATGATTATACCTGCAAGAGGTACATGCAATGGTTAAAAATCTAGGAAACTCCTTGCCTAATGATGTTGCAGATGCTAAAGGCTTGCATGATTTCATGCAGGGATACCCGTGGAGGAGAAACCCAAAGAAATCACTTTGGATTCAGGGAGTCTTGGAACAGAAAACCATTTGTGGTTAAGAGAGTATTAGTGAGAAGCATCATCTACACTTGCCATATGCTTATGCTTCTCCAGGAATTGACTTCTGGCTGCTACTGAGGACGTGATATTGTGCTAGATGGATCTTGGGCCTGACTCACCACATATTGCTTTCTCTTTCCTTACCATGCCTCACACAACAGACAATTTTAATATCTCTATTAATCATGGCTGTAAACTTAATAATTTATGAGTCTTCAAAGAGAGATGCAACTGCTCCATCCCCTCAGTTGTGCTGTCCCTTCTGACTTCTCATCCTTGCTGCTCCAAAGTTGAATTCCCTGCTCTGCCACTGTCATGAAACCAAGTGCATAGCCTTTGGTGGCCAGGCTCCACAGAGGATCCAGGTGCCATTGCTCCGCTTCTGGAAGAGGAGCTGTGCGGGCTTATTGCCAAAGGGCATGTCTTAGGGCTTTCAGGGGTCAGGAAGCAAAACAGCCCATTATAAAAATCTTTCCTTCATGTGTTACACTCCTTTGCCTTATTTTCCACATTTGACTCAGCCCATTACACAAATCTTTCCTTCATGAGTTGCACTCCTTTGCCTTATTTTCCACATTTGACTTCAGGAAATTCATGTCAAACGAATCCTTGTTTGAGAAGAGGTAAGAAATAGACCCCTTTTCTCTGCCCCTAAGGAGGAGTGGAGGAGTTGGCTGTGCTCCTGGTTAAGAGTGGTGCTACTGGAAGCCACCTGGCTTTCTGCAACTAAATTAACAATCCAGACCTATTGCCTTCTTCCCCCTGGCTCCAGGATCAGCAATGTTTGTACAGTATTTTGGCACACATCACCATCTTGCAATTGAGTATCTGCTACCACCTTGGTATTTGTAGGCTTCAGGTGCAATTTGTCTCTCCTGCTTTTTTTCCTCTCCTGTTCCCCCTAACCTCCGTGTGCTCTGCAACTCCAAAGGGAGTTTTCTCTGTTCACAGTAAATAAACTTTTAAGGACTCAGTACACCAGGGGAGAAGAATAAGCCATTCTGTTGGCTTTGGCAGCTCTCTGAACTCTGGCTGTCTCTGCCAGCTGGGAAACCTGAAGCCCGAACTTAGCCCTTTGAAGATAAAAAAGGTGATTACTGAAGATCAAACAAAGGCCTAGTTTAACATAAATTCCATACATGTTTCTTTAGTCCTGTTCACTGAGAGGACATTTGGGAATTCCTCTGAGTGGATTTCTATAGCGAAATATATATATATATGTGTTCATCTATAATGAAGATGTTAGATTTCTTTCCTTAAACCCTCACCCAAATACAGCACCACAGCCTTGAAGCACAAAATTGTCTAGAGGGTATCTGTATCTAAAGGCTACAAATATTCCACAGTAATCCTATCTGCAGTTCAGTGTGAGAAAGATATGGCAAACTTCCAACTGCTCACAAAGAGGAGAGGGAGGAAAATTAATAGGGAAACCAAGAGCTCTGCTCCTCCTTGAACATAGTGGAGTAGTGCCAGCAGGTACATGGGGACAGCCAATGCTCCATCGTCTGACCTCTTCTGGGCTAATGGATAAAAGCCCATGAGGAGTTATCATGGAATCACGGAATTGTCAGAGTTGGAAGGGACCTCTAGAGATCCTCTGGTCCAACTCCCCTGCCAGAGCAGGATTGCCCAGAGCACATCACTCAGAACAGCATCCAGGTAGGTTCTCATGTGATGAATTTCTCTCCAACAAACCACATACTTTGTCTCTCCATGAAGAAGTATTCCATGAAGAATGCTGGTGATACTGTGCATGATCAAAGTACAAACCCTGTCTTCTTGTTTGAAAAAAAAATAAAAAATAAAAAAATACCTTCTACTGCAGCGTTTTGCTGATCCACCAAAAGCGCAGAGCCATTGTGCAGGTAAGAAAGCACTGGGGCAAATGTGGAGGCATCGACTGGAAACTCAGGGTCCTCCACAGTGATTCTGAGCCTCACTATGATGCTTCCAGCTTGCAAGGATTCAGTCTGCACTTTCAGCTTCCCAGATTTGTATAAAGCAGAAATGTTGGGTGGAAATGAATTTTCAAGCTAAGTAAAGGGGGAAAAGCATTGATAATTAGGAAGCCAACACGAACAGGTCCTTTTAAAACTGAACAATGGTGGTACTGTTTCAAAGACTACGCACAACACAGAAAATGTTGTAAAAAGAAAAGTTTCAAAATATTTCAGAAATCTTACTTTTCAGAGATTACTGAGGCATGGAGAAGTGTGAGTCTCCTTGGTGCCCCTAGGTGCTCTTGAAAATGGTACCCATCTGACCACTGGTCTTACAAACCAAATTTCATTTTGGCTCAAGGGAGCAGAATTCCTTTCTCCCCTGTTTGTCCGCATCACAGCTGCACCCAGTAAGTCTTCATGCATCAGACCCTTGCTGTTAGCTCTGGATGTCACCTAAGTCTTTTGTCCCAAGCCTCCTATATAGATTCACCTCTGCACTACCATACACTGGAACTTGGTCATCTCCACTGTCGCTGGAGCAGACTCTGGCTTGATTTTGACTACCAACTAGCTGTGCCCCAGGCAGTACCCAGGCAGACTTAGCATCAACCAGAGGCCAGACCCAACAGGCAATCACAATGTGACTGCATGCTTTGGATGACCAAACTGCACGGGTACAGGGTAGTTTGTGCCAGTTGGTGTCAGTGCCAGAGAATGGTTAAGGCAATGCTTCATTTATGAGTATGACAATAGCTCCAGCTCCCAGCGATTATTTGAAACTCACCAGACCAAGTCCAGCCTGCAGCCCAGTCCAATGACAAAGAAATCTCAGAATGACCTTATAACAGCCTTCCAGAACCTGAAGGGAGCCTACAGGAGAGATGGGGAGGGACTCTTTGTCAGGGAGTGTAGTGATAAGATGAGGGGTAATGGTTTTAAACTGAAAGATTTAGATCAGATATTAGGAAGAAATTCTTTGAGGGTGGTGAGACACTGGAACAGGTTGCCCAGGGAAGCTGTGGATGCCCCATCCCTGGAAGTATTCATGGCCAGGCTGGATGGGGCTTTGCACAACCTGGTCTCGTGGGAGGTGTCCCTGCCCATGGCAGGGGGTTGGAACTCTGTGATCTTTAAGGTCCCTTCCAACCCAAACCATTCTGTGATTCTGTGATTCTATGAGGCCAAAAAAATGGGGGTGGATTACTTCAAGAAAATGTGTTTGAGGCAGCTCAGCTTCAAGGCAATATCATAATTACACTGTGTTTGATTATCAATCCAGTAAGTAGACACATCAGTTGAACAAAGGATGTTACTTTGGAATATTAAAACTGGCATACTGCTCTCAGCATTTGAGAAGTGCAGGAGTTTGCAGTTTTGCCTTATATCTCTAGAAGTCATCTCCATGCTGAAGCCTTTTTTTTCCTACATACACCTCAAAGGATGCTTTTGAGCATGCAATGCAGTACAATAAATCAACACGGCTTTGCTCCCATTCAGCCAGAGTTTGCTCCAAAATATTCCTACAAACAAGCTGTTTAACTGGTCTAAGTTCAGATCAGGGTGGGAAGGCAAGAAAAAGAGAGGAGAAACGAAGCAAGAGCCCAAGCACCTGAGAAGGCAGGAGCAACAGAGATGGGCAACGCTCCTTTTCCTTCCCAACCTCATGATGCCAGCTAGGTCTGCAGTAGTCTCAGGGGAGGTTCGCTGACAAAAATACTCCTGAACAACATAAGTAAACAATTTGCATCTACGGGAAATAAAACCATGTCAGAAGGTTCAACATGGAATTTCCCATGAGCAAATGCCTCTTCTCTCCTGCCTTCTAAAGTATATCCCCATTACTTTTTTTTCCTTCAGATATATATTCACATATGTTTATGAGCCCCCCTTTGTTTTGGGAAAGTCAAGTTTTGGATGGAGACACCAGTTCCTCTGTATGGGCTCTGTTCTTTACAATAAAACTGTAAGAGATTGCTGTGTCTGAGATGTCCCCCCTGTTTGGGGAGCTGGTAACAGACTTCATGACTCAAATTTTGTTTATGGCTGCTTACACCTGAGCATGGACAGTGGCTACATATGTGCATACGATGAATGGGGCTGAAGAAAAAAGCCTCATCTGGTCACTTTTCCTTAAGGAGAAAAAGCTTTGAGAGCAGTCAGACATTGATAATACATCACTGAAATGAATGCCAGCAATGTAATTTCAATAATCCATTAAGAAGCCTCAAGTCAATTCATTCAGTGTGAGTTTATTGCCAAACTAAAGATCCAAGGAAAGGGGTCCCTGTTGCATGCCTGCATTTTTAATCCCTTTACTCTTCTGTAGGTGAAAATTCTCATTGGCTCCATTGCTAATAAGGCCAAGGGCTTGATCTGTTTGGTCAGTCGGATTTTGTTTTAATTATAAAGAAAGGTCACAGGAAACAATACGATGATTTTCAAGGGATATTTCAGCCAGGCATAAAGACCTCTACTAGATGAATAAATTCTAAATTGAAAAAAAATATATTACCCACAGATATTTTAGCATTACCTCTGTAAGCAGCAGTCTTGAAAATTCTTCATATGCTGAGCTGCTGGTGTTATGGAAATCGTCAGTGAAGTTATAGTTGAGAATCCTCATAGTAATACCAAATATCTTGGCATCTGTAGGGCACAATATTTAAAGAAACACTGACAAAGCAGAAGAGGAAAGGATCCAGTCAGACTAATGTACCCAGACCAAAATCCCAGATTTTGGAGGGGGAAAGAAGGGAGAAGGTTGAGGCAGTTTGGTATTAAACCAAGAAAATAAAGCCAATATTCTGCTACAAGTCTCCCATACATTGAGGAGATGCACTTACATGAGATCCATAAAGATATTTAGGGACCTAATTCCAGCTGCGTGAGAGCTAGGTATACACAAATCCTTGTAGACCTGGCCCTACATAACTCCTGCATTTGAGTTACATCCAGGGCTGAATTGCCTGTGAGCTCAGCTCTGGTCCACCTGTCACAATTATTATTTTTTTCTCAATTTTGGTAGTGTTTATAGTAAATATATTCTTAAACTGAAAATAGTAACAAAAAACAGTGCATGCCACTTCTCTGCCTGGTAAGCCCTGATGGATAATGTACAGAGCACATGAGCTGAAACCAAGAGCCAAGGAATCTATTAACCACTTTAACCTGTATAAACAGTCTGAGGCTGTTACTCAGTGGACTGTTCTTTGGAAAACTTTCCTCAGGGACTCCAACTTCATACCCTGAAGGTCAACCCTTTGTTTCCGTAACCGCTAGACCTCCTACTTTCCCACTACAAAGGCAGTAATTTCCTTCTGACCCAGACTGGAGTCATCTCTTGTTTGATCAAAGGGAAGGCTTTTATAGATAAACATAAACAGTAGCATTCTCACTCTGGCCACTATTAAATAGTTCGCTGCCAGCTTTTTGAAGAAAATGTGGAGAGATCTATTTCTTGGTTTGCATGAAGGCTTAGGAAAAAATTTAAGAATAAAGGAAAAACAAAATTGGGTTTGATCAACACAATAGGGTCTCAGAGAGCTAGCATCACTAGCTAATTGAACAAAATTATGGAGGTATCCTGCAAGCTTTCTTACACAGCCCTTGTTAATCCTTTTAATCCTGGTCACTAACAAATATCCAGCTGAATGTGGCATTCCTCTGGGCACTCTTATTAGCTTAGCTGAGCCCTTGACAAACCAGTTGACTGCATTTCTCACTGGCCACAGCCGCCAACCAGGAAAAATGGGGCCTGATGGGAGCTGGGTGGCAGCACAGGCACACCAAAAAAAAAAAAAAACAACAAACCAAAACCAACCAAAAACTAACAACAAAAAAGGTATTCTATCTTAGCCTGATATCTGTAATAGTCTGAGCCAGTTCCAACACTGCTTTATCAACTAAGGCCAAAGCTCTGCTGCCTGATAGTCGGGGTCGCATAAATGCTGGGGTAGAGGAGAGAAAAAGTGCTGAAGGAGGAGGGAAACACAGTTCAGGGAGGATTAAATGGATCATTGCTGAACTGCAAGTAAGTGGGAGAAGAGAAAGAAGGGGAGGGAAAAATTATATATATTTTTTAAAGTAGCTCTTTACCTGTTTTAACATTTTGATGGAAGATGCTGGTTTTTCCACAGGTTTCATAGCTGATCTCTACTGAATACATCACACCTGCTTCCAGTCCAGACACATCCAGTTTCATTTCGTCTGTTGTTAGGTTTTTTATAATCTCTTTGCCCTTGAACACTTGGACTTGGAAAGTATGGTTCAGGGCAGAAGTGATGTGCCAGGACATTTCAAAACTGTTGCTGGTAACGCTGAAGGTTTGGTGGTTTCTAACTGCAGAGGGATCTATTGCAGTCCCAGGAAGAATCATCACAAAAATAGCAACATTTCACCTTTAAAGCATTGTGTTATTGTAAATCCATTAGAGATAAGCACTTCGACAATCAGTAGGGGAAACTCCCTTTTACATTACATCAGGATAAATTCTGCCCTTCTCCCATTCCATTAGAGGGATTGGGTGCTTACTCTTTCTCTTTTTGTTTCTTTTTACTATACCTATTTGTGTTGAATCTCTCATAGCACTAATAATCAGCCAGTGAGCTACACGTTCAAGCAACAGAAGTGAGTTTGGAGTAGTGGATCTGTGTACTCTACATACATTGACACCTTCTTTTCCTCTTGTCACTTTAATCATCAAAATGCACCTCTTCAGGCAAAGTCTGCCTTGGTTTATCCCTGGAAAAGACCCACAGACCCCAGCTTTTACAGGCTGGGGGCAGAGTGGTAGACAGTGTTTCACCTATTTATGCCATTCTAGTCCAGTGCAATCATTGTCATGTCAATGGAAAAAGACAGGATCCTTCAGAGATTATTCCCCTCCTCAGAGGAGGAGGAGGAAGTGTCTAAATTGGGTAGGATGAATAGCCCTCCAGCAGAGCCTGTCTGTCTCCACTAACTGGAGAGAGCCCGAAAGGTGAGCACAGTCTAGACACCTCTCCTGCAGACAGCTGGGGTCAGGTGAAATGAATATCATGCCCTACACTAACCAAGAGATCATGGCTTGCTGCTGCCCCAACTTCAATTATTTCATGCTAATAGATAACCTGAGAAAAAGGGTTGTTTTCTTAAATTATTTCAATAGGACACAATTGTTTCCACACCTCTGAATCCTATGGCTGCCCGATGCCCCCAAAGACATACTGCCTCTGCTCTAGAGAGACCTCAGTTTAATTCCTCTAGCTTCAGTTTGGATCAGAAATTGTGGATGAAGATCAAGAATATCCAGCGTGTCTCTCTGACCTAAGCAAAGACCCTTTAACATCTTCACGGATTCAAAAGCAACTGGCTTGCATCCTGGTGGCTGTGGCCAGGAGGAACTCCTGTGGTTGGTAGCAGATCCTCCCATGCCTTGCTCCAAGACAAGCCTGGGACATGCAGTGAGCTGTGTCCAGGGTGAGTGAGTGGTGCTGGCCTTGCAGAGCGCTCACTGGCACGCTTCTCATACTGAAGAACCATCCAGCACAAGCCCTGTGATGAGACCTGCACTTGAATGGTTCCCCAGGCACAAACGGCTCAAGAAGCCAGTATGGCCACCTCCACTTCCAGGAGGCCAGCTCCTTTCAGTAGCCATGGGAATTACAGTGAGGCTTCTCCAGTGGTCACAACACTACGGACTCTGATCTGAATTTCACTGAATTTCTAGAGTTGGAAGGGACCATAGAGATCATCTAGTCCAACTCCCCTGCTGAAGCAGGATTGCCTAGAGCTAGAGCATGTTACTCAGGACTGCATCCAGGCGGGTTTTGAAAATCTCCAAAGAAGGGGACTCCACAACCTCCCTGGGCAGCCTGTTCCAGGGTTCCGTCACCCTCACCGTGAAGAAGTTTCTCCTCATATTTGAGTGGAACCTCTTATGTTCCAACTTGTGCCCGTTGCCCCTCGTCCTCTCGGTGGGAACCACTGAAAAGAGTCTGGCTCCCTCCTCCTTCAACCCTCCCTTGAGATACTTGTAGGCGTTGATAAGGTCTCCCCTCAGCCTTCTCTTCTCCAGACTAAAGAGTCCCAGCTCTCTCAGTCTCTCCTCATAATGTCCTGTTTGGGGAGCCTCTCTTTTTCCATTTCCACAGGTGGAGTTTTATTCCAAAACTATTACCATCTTCTGTAACTCAACCAGCCCCAGGACAAAGGGATCAAAGAGTGTCTGAATTAAAAGCAAGACAATATTCATTCAAATCCGAGGTTACTTACAGCACTCAGCATCTGTAGATTGGTTAGTCATGGACAAGAGGCTTGAATTACTTATAGACAGAGAGCTATCGCTAGTGTTAATGAGATCCAATGCTGAACTTGGAGTAGATGCTGCTGTGCCTAGGGGAAAAACAGTATTATCAAAGAGTTAAAGCATTCCTAACAAAGTAAATCCAAAATAATACCATTCATGTTTTCCACAGATGAAAAGCAGCAATAGAAGTAGTATAAATAGAAATGAAAATAAACGTATTATCATATCACAAAAGCATACAGTAATACATTATCTTAATTTTGGAGATTAAAGGATTGTAAAATTGTTTTCTAACTAAAGCATTGAATCTGCAAGCACTTATTTATCTCCTTATCTTTAAGCCTATTAGCAGGCCCATTGGTGTCTGTGGGCTGTAAGTAAATGCCTCTGTATTTTGCTGAACTGGTACAAAGTATTATTTCACCCACGGCCAAGCTCTGTCTGCCTCCAGCAGAGGACCCTGTGTAATCCAGGGTGGGATTATACAACCACCGAGTCCCGGCTGCAGTCACGCAGTCAACATGGGAAGGAGAGTTCATGTACAAATAATGTCATTCATCATCTCCCAGGAGGCTGGGGAGGTGTACGACAGTGAGTGACTTGCTCTGAGAAGCAGTCAGGGTCTGAAGGCAGAGGGTTTGGCAGGTGAGTGAGGACAGGTGAGGGTGAGATAGGAGAAACAGCCAGGTACTGTGAATTCTATAGCCTGTATTTCAATCAGAAGTATCTATAACAACTGGCTTATGTGGCACCTTCTCCCAACAGGAGGAGAAGGGGCACTGTGTGCTCCAGAATTCTCTGCTTTGCAGGTGGCTCCTGCCATGGACCACAGAGTCCTGTAGAAGTGTTCTCCCAAGGCGAGACTGACATTTCTTACCTTCCTTTCTTGGGCTCAGCTGGTGAGGGTTGACATCTGCACGTTCATGCTGAGGGTCACAGCTGTAATAACCCTCCAGGTTTACACAGGTGTTTTTCTCAGGACAAGTGTTGAATACAAGATGGGAACATTCATTGACATCTAAGAAGAAGAACACACCTTGCACAGATACTGGTAGCAGTGTCAAGACTGAATTGCAATGTGTGTAGACCAGGCTCTGGATATGATAAAATCAGTGTAAATCTGCAGTAACTCTGCTGAAACAGTTCTGGGTGTATATGGGTGCAATGAAATCAGAATGCTGCCCTTCCCCAAATCTAGCCCCCATTCAGTTATAACCCTATCACTTTTTAGTCCAACTCTTTGAAACAAGAGGACAGAGAGTGGCAGGTCCTGCTTACAGTTGCGGGGTGTCCTCCAAACCTAAGAAACTTCAGCAGCAAGGGGAAGGAGATCTACCCAGTGATTTCACTGGAAGTTGGACTGAGTTTTCAAAAGTAAACACAGAATAAGAAGTGATGACAACGGTGCTTATGGATGCATTTCAGAAGTGAAAATGTTCAGGTAACTATGCAGCAATAAGTACATTTAAAAAAACCTCGAATATATTCAAATATGTACCTAACATTTAAAAAGTATAGCAATATACTATAGTAACTATCAAAATATAAATACTCCTTGCTTCAGGCAAGCTATTGGAAGTAATACATATCTATAAAAACAGACTATATCTGCTTCCCAAGAATACTTTAAACACTTTTTTAAAGAGCCTGCTTAATACAAGTAATGATTGTGCTACATGTTTTGAACACCTTTCGTTTTTTCGTATGAGGATGGTCTGTGTTATGCTATTAGGAGAAAATAGAAAATTGAGGAAGCAGGAATATTCCCCTCCAAACTATTCATTCCAAAATAATTACTAACTAATTACAACCCTCTCCATCCTATAATGTATAGCTTAAGGCCATATTTGCAAAATTTACAAGATTCATGACGCTGTTTTTGAAAGCAAATTGATAGTCATACAGACGAAATGTCAAGTGAAGATAGACAAAGCCCCCTGAAAAAGCTTCCCCCCCTGTGACAGGATTATAATAATTAACCTTGCACTTGTGTGTCAATCACTTCATACACACGCCTCACTATGTCCTTCAAGGAATTAGACACTTCTGCTAGTGGAGATGGCTGATGCAGTCCAATAAGAACATGGGAGGCCACTGTCCCAGCATATATTTCTGCACGGTGACTCTGGATATGGTACACAGAGGCGTTCAAGGGCTGTAATGCACCAGTAATCTAGAAAACAGGAGAACAAACACTTTGGTACCTCATTTCTTTATCAGCACAGCCGTATGCCAATAAGGCATAACCTATGCAGTGATTATCATCATAATCTGAGTGTAGAAAGCACCTATCCAGAAACCATATCAAAGTGGCAACATTTAGATCTGTATTTATGCAAGGTGATCGTTTCTCATTATCACATTTCACAGCAGATTTACAGGACAGTACTGCCAAGCTAAGGGAGGTGTGGAGCTGCATGTCAGATCTCAAATGCTTAGGTGTCCTGGCAGGAGGATGCAACCCAGGAAGATAAAAAAGGCTCTTTGGCTTGTAATGTTTAAACATCAACATCTCAATAGACAGAATATACTTTAGACACGCTGTTACAATTCATCTGTAATAAAGCTGTCCAACACTTCTTACTTTAAGCAACTAAAAAGACTGCTGGCAAAGGGAATAGAAAGAAAAAGAATAGCAATGGGCTGAGCAAGAAGGCTGGGACTGAGAGCCACAGAGAGACCCCAGGACTGACCGAGTCATCAAACCGTGGGTCAGGGATCAGAGAAGGGACATGGTGGGGGGCTGAGCATTAGGAATCTGTGGAGCAGACAGGGCCTGGAAGACATTCCTCTGTGCAATAGTTCATTGCAAAGCTTCAGTTTATATTTCCTATATTTTGAGTGTTTCTCTTTGCCTTAGCTTGCTTTAGACCAAGATATGAAAGTCTTGGCAAATCATTGCCCTCTATTCCTTACTCTACAGTGACAGGACCAGAGTTTCCTGCTTTTTATGGGTATGAGAAGGGTGAATTTGGGTAGGAGGATCAAGTAAATTCATGCAACATCCCCACACTACTTCTACCTTCTGTTCTGCCTGCCAGTGCTAGTTGATGATGGGAGCCCACTCCTACCTGGAAAATGAGGAGTAGAAATAAAAATGAATGGAAATAGGCAACTGCCATCTTGGGTACCTTTCAAAGGATACATACAAGCCTGGCTTTCTCCATGGCATGGTGATATGTATTAGGGAAATGCTTTGGGTTTACCACCTGGAGAGTCTTTGTCCTAGCTCATCAATCCATTCCTTAAATACCACTTCTAGGACAGCCCAAGCTCACTTGTGTAAGCGCAGCTTTAGTTTGTAGCCTGGTTCTTCCTGAAGGCCCTCCTTTCTGGAGGCCTGCCTCACTCCTCTGGTAGGGCTGTGTTTTTCTTGGTTGCCTTGGACTCTTTCTACCTGCGTGTGCTGGGGACAGGGACCGGCACACTGTGCTGCTACCGCATGGCCATGCACATGTTGTTGCTAATGCCACTGTTAATCCATGCACGAGGCAAAGCCTTGGTCTTACAGCAAAGGCAACACCCTGCTGTCTCCCCCAGCACTGTTCCTGTGGGAAGAATGACAACAAAATGCCCTCGACCCAGCCACAGTCCCCTGCCACAACCCTGGGGTTTCACAGTGAAACTTCTGGTGCTGCTGAGTCCGTCTGCCATGTAGGTCCCAGTGCCATAGATTAGGTTTGTCTTTCACAGAATCACAGAATCTTCTAGGTTGGAAGGGACCTTAAAGATCATCTTGTCCAACCGTCAACCTAACTGACAAAAATAGACACCCGCACAACAAACAAGAAGCAACACCATCACTAAACCATACCTCCCAGCACTACATCAACCTGTCTTTTGAACACCTCCAGGGATGGTGCCTCAACCACCTCCCTGGGCGCCCATTCCAATGTCTGGTTTAACTCAAAACTCCTTATCAGAAAACATCACACTTTGCGGGTCTTGAAATCCAGACCCTGTTGGTCATAGACCCAAAATCAAACTGAGACAGAGCTGGAGAAAACATCACTTAAACAGGAAAAAAACCCTATATTTCTGAATGTCTTTACCCTCGGAAGAGACCTGAAATATTAACTAAAGGAGCTGATAGATCAAATATCTGGTGGAACAAAAGGGGAGCAACTAGCTGGCAAGATTATGTCCAGCACAGAGGACAATGAGATCCCTCCTGGGCTGGAGCAAGTGGTGGCCACTGACTAACAGAACCAGGGACACAACGAGCAGCACACAGCAGTGTTTGTGTTTGTACATACCATGGAGTGCAAAAGGCGTGAATGATTCAGAAGGTAGGAATCCACTCTGATTAATTCATTAAAATCCATTTTCACAAGCACTGTCACGTTGTACCAGAATGTTCTTCCTGAAGCGTACGAAAAAAAACCAGCCAAGTCATCTGAGGTCTGATGCTATAGAAAGCGACAGAGCTATAGAAAGGCTCTGAGAAATTGAAGCAAGCTTTAACTTTGAAATGATGAAGGACCCATGCACAACCATCAGCTACAGCCTCCTTTGCCATATACCGCAGGCAGTGGCGCTGGAGAAGGAGAAGAAGCCAAGGAAGGTCCACTGGACCCACAGCACCCACGCACTGTTCAATGCTCCCGGGTGCAAGTCCTGAAGCTGAATATCCTGGAGCTGATCCAAAGCAGATTCCCGTATTTGTTTTATGCAGAGCTATGGTAACAGTTTTCCTGCCCACTCCCATCCTCAGAAGGAAAAACTAAGCATATTTCTATTAGAAGCAGTCTTGAATTTATCAGTAACATACCCTCTGGCATTGGATCCACACAGCCTGCTCCTTTGGATGAGTTGCAGCATTTTTTAAGCCCTGGACATTCGGTGTCGAACGTGCAAGGATAATCAGATGTTTCCATATTCTCCGTTGGACAAATACCAGGTCTTGAGGAAAATACACTGGATCTATTGAGTGCTAAGTAACAAAAACATTTCTGAGAGCAAAAATATCGAAAATTGTTTCCATAAAATTGTGCTATTTAATTTACAACAAACACCTCCTCCTCATTTCAGAAGTGTGTCTGCTCTAAGGTTTTCATGCGAAGAAAATAGCAGCCTAAATTACCATTACTTCATTTCAAGAGTGTAAATGTTCTCAGATTTTTCTCTCCTTCATGACATTTCCGTGACAGAAATTTTGAATTGATAATTTTCCATTAATTATTATGGATGGATGGATGGATGGATGGAGGAAGGGATAGATAGATAGATGCATAGATAGTTAGCTTCAAAATGTGGAGACATTAAAGCACTACAAAACAGAAAATGGGCCTGATGTCAGCTATGACTAATCCAAATAATATGTAATGATCAAAGGAAATAGGTCACGTCTAAGCTAGAAATCGTGAGTTTTCATTTAACCTCTTGTTGGGACAAAGCTAACCTTTAGTTATAGTAATTGAAGACGTTACGTGAGAGCAGAGACAAGATGCTATTCTCAGGGTCAGTTAAGTGGGTTACACGGAGGGGCAGGAGAGCAGAACTGAGCCTGTGGCCAGCAGCCCGGCAGCAGCCGCTCCGTATCAGCCAGCTAGCCATTGTGGGAGGTTGGTAGCCCACACCAGACAGCCCTGCAGAGAGAGCAGCTAAGGCAGATGGTTACTGCTTCCCAAGCCAAGGGCAGACAGCAGCCCTGGCTCACTGCCAGCACATACTCTTCTCCAGATGAAAAAAAAAAAAGAAAATATTTTTAAGCTCTACGACTTTGCTTTCACCCACACTCTCAAACACAGCTCCAAGTAATGCTCAGCTCTGGTCTTCCCAATCAGCCTAAAAGATTTCTCTTTTCCATTGATTTCATGCCTACAGGTTTTTGGTCCTACAAACTCTTGATCCATTTTTGGGCTATTAAAGTCATCCACTAGCCATGCAGTCCTATTTCCATAAAGAAATAGGCTATTGAGACCAACGGTTTTAAGACTATGGTCTGTGTCTTTTGGGGGGCCCAAAGTAGGTTTGTCAAAGGTCTCTGAAAGGTGATTAAGAAAAGTAGCCATAGCTTAATGATGGGGTCCACACCTCTGCTGAAAAACCTGCCTAAACCCACAAGCTGGAGAACAGAGAAGCCACCAAGTTGAGACCTCTCAGCAGCCTGCAAGTTACTTGCAGGAGTAATTTCAAAAATTTGCATGGAGAATACATGGGACAGCACTTCCCCACAGTCTTTTGTACTGCATTTGGTGCACTGTGTGTGTGTCCTTTGTGTGCACACTGTCAACGACCACGTGCTTTAACAGGGCTGTGAGTGTCTTTCAAGTAGAGTTGGTGTTAGACCTACAAGAGCTCCGGGTAGCAAATTAGGAAACTCTACCCTCGACTGGAAAAGGGCAAGAAAGAAACCCTCTGCCTGCTCTTTCTGGGAGGTTCTCCCATCCTGCCAGCCTCTCTCACCAGGAGCTTGCACAGACACAAGCACCAAGGAATTTCCCTGTGTTGGTATCAGCAGTACTCCTTACTATTCCAACCAGGTGGGCCTTGGTAACCTTGACAGAAACATCTAAATCCTTCCAGTTTTGCAGTTCAAGTGCTGTTCAAACAGTTTTGAGGTTCAAAGCAGCTTTTTCCACTAGAGTCTTTTTTTGGCATGTTTTACTGTGGTGTAAAAGATTTAATGAGTCACATGCAATCTCAGAAAACACTATTGAATCCTGGCTGAATGCCACACTAGCCATTTATCTAAAATCAAAAGGTCATCATTTTCGGATCAGCGGAAACAGAGATGGATTCACATCACATTTCTGCCTAATTGTACCAGATGCACTTTGAAAATTCAATTTATGCTCTCCACTTCAATCATCTTGGGGACAGTCACCTACCAAGCAACGCTGCCAGCACTGGGGAGCAAGCCAGGCAACTCCTCTGTCAGCTGGATGAAGTAGAGGCTTTTCTCCTCCATTATTTGCATAAACCTACAGAAGCAGAAACGCAGCACCCAGTGCTTAGCAACAAAAGCTCAGTTACCAGCCTGCCTGCACTGAGAGCTGTCGGGTGGGCTGTGACTGCAGGATGGGGGGATCTCCCAGGAGATAGATGCTGAGGGATACCATTAGCTCATCCCTAACCCCCTTCCTCTCCCTTCTTCCACCTGGAGTGGCCGGGTTTCACCCAGAGGGTGCAGCAGAACCAGGAACCAAAGCCCTGCATTCGTCTCAGACATCAGAAGGTGGAGACAAATCTATGAGATTATAGAGAGAGCTCGTGGCAAAGCCTGTTAGAAAGGCAGACTGGCAGTTTTCATCACAAGACCCTGTTTTCGGGGTCTTTGAGCACTGCTAGACTTTTCCTGCTCAGATGGAGGTTTTCCATCCTGATTGACTGTCCAGGGGCTAATCAGGATGGAGGGCAGCACTGGGATGTGCTAGTTCAGCCTCTGACAAATATTTAACAGTCTTCCTCATGAAAAGCCATATCAAGCACTAGAACACAGTCAGGAGCCTTGGGCTGAAATTCAGTGAGGATGCAGCTGTCGGACAACAGGGGAGCATGGCCTTCAAAGCCCAAGAACAGTCTCTTCATGCTCAGAATAAACTTAAGGACATTTAGCCACTCCTCCTTCCGATGGGTTCATCCCACTGGCAGCACTGCTACATGGCCATGTTCTGCCCCATTGGCACTCACACCAGCAATGGGTGGTGAGCTGGCAGGGACCTGTGGTGACTCCTCATCTTGGAGGCAACTCTGGGTACCCCTGCTCCCTCTGGGCTTAATGCAGTTGGGAAAGACATGGGGTGAACAACCTGAACAGAGTAGAAAACCTGCAACGACAGACTACTAAAAAGGCTGGGAGGTTTTGCTGTGGAGAGGAGAAGGCTGAGAGGAATGTGATCAAGGTTGACAATATCCCAGAAGCTGAGGGTAAGATGAAAATGGAGCTGGTATTCACCATGAGCCCACAGTAATGAAATGGGTATGCACTTCTTTACCAAAGGGGGAAGTGAACTTCTGCAGTTTTTCAACACAGGAGGGTGCGGAGCTCTACTGCCTTAGTGGGCTCAGAAAGAGAGAAGACAATTCCTGCACAGAAGGCCTGTAAGCAGACACCACGGGGAACAGGAAGGGACATACCCTCTGACACCTGTAATCCTATTTCTGTGGCTGCTGGGGGCACACAAGGGAGCAGACTGTAGGAGCCAGAAACATCTGCTTTTGGGTGAGATGCCCCTCTTCCCACTCCAGGGGGATGCTGCAATGCTGCACGCATGTCCCCAGTGACAGAGCTTTCCCATGGATTTTTGGTGACAACCCAAGCAGGGGGGACAACTGTGTTGCAGCTCCCCACTGCTCTGGTCAGACCCAGCATGCAAATCTCTGCATGGAGGCTCTGAAAGGTCCTAGCCCCACTGAGGAGCTACCTGGGCACCTAAAGGGAATGGGGTTTAACTTTACAGTTGGGGTTTTTTTTGAAAACCTTAGGAAGTTGAGCACACAAAGCATGCTCTGATTGAAGTGTGGCCTTAACATTGCAAATCAAGAGCTCTCAAGTTACGAAACTCCAGGATTAAGGTTTTGTGGGCTTTCTTATTTCAATGCATTTTTGTATACGTGTGCTTTAAAAACCAGCCCTCATGACATGTTGATGCATCCTTTTGGCCTTTGGCTGGGGATCCAGCAGGGTTAGATGGCAGATAAGGAAGGAACCTCCTGCCTGTATCTCTCTGGTTGCATCTTAGACAGTAAGGTGGAAGGTGGGCAGCAAACCAGCTACCAGGAGAAGCAGCCGTGCCGCCGATTCAAGTAGCTGGAAACCAGCCTGGAGAATTGGACCCTTTCTCTACCTCAAAAAAAAATGCTGCAAGATGCTGGGAAAGTTTCATACAGCAAATCCGAAACAACCTGTCAGAGAGACGGGTTTCACAGGTCCAAGAACCTGATCTGCAGCCCTGGGACCTGCTTAGCAATGGGGGGACTGCTCATAGTCACCATCGAGGACAGAAGGCTCTGTGCTCCGATGACGCAAGTTGTTAAAAGCAGCACTAGCCTCTCTGAAAATCAAAATAAATAAATAAAAATTTAAAAAAAAAAAATTCAAACCACACCCTAGGTGTCTGAGAATGGGCATACCAAATGGTTTGATCCCAATCTCTTTGCAGCTCTGTTGCCCACCTGTGAAAGGCAGAGAACCTCCCTCCCTTCCCACAGGCTTCTTGGACACAAATTGCTGTCTGTGAGTCGCCCCAGCATCCACCTCAGGAGGTGATAAATAATTCTCTATTCAGAGAGAACTCGGCAGAGCACTGCACCACGCACCGAAGATGGAGGCCAGGATGACATGCTGCTGGGAAGCTCCTCAGAGGGGCTCCATTATCCCTGAGCACCACAGGGAAACGTGGTCCTCGGGGCAAGGCAGCGCCAGATCAGGTAATTAAAAGAGTTTACTAATATGCATGCATAAGCATAAAGAGAGGAAACAACAACTGGTTTTATTTAATTCTACCTTTAGAATTCATTATAGCACTTCCTAACTTTTAGATGCTTAACTTTGCAATTTTTATTTTAAAAAAGTAGTTTTTGTGTGCAATACTACCCTACCGGATTGACAGGCAACTAGTGAGAACAACTGGCGTGACTTGACTAATGATCTAGATGGTTTTTACCCCACAGTAAAGAAATGAGAAAATGAGGACCTGCTCTATCCCAGGTAGGAGTAAATGTCTCCTTCTAGGAAGAAAAGGTGGGGAGTGGCCAGGAGCAGGTTACTGCGAAAGGTCACGCAGACCTTTCCACTCCTAGTAGGATGGAGAGCACGCCAGCATGGATAACGTCAAGAAGAGAATAACAGTATTTCGGCAGCATGCTCTGCAGTAGTTTCAGCAGTTCCAGTTTCTCTTTTCATTATTTATTTAAGACTGTGTCTAGACAGTGCATTACCATTCACAGAATTTATGACTAACGCCCTGAAAAGCAAAGATACCGGAATAATGTAAATACAGAAATCACCTAGAAGCCATACAAATCCTTTTATGGTTTAAAATATTCCCAAATTAACTTTGACAGGAAAAAGAGGCAAGGCGACCACAGCATTTTATGGGCAAACCTGCCCAGAGTGCCCATCAATACGTGGCAAGAGCAGAGCGGAAATTCTGCAGCTAAGCTTTACAAGAGATTTACAGATTTGCTAATGTTAGCTGAAGTAAACTCATCAACAGCTCTCAAGCCTAAAATATCCCTAGAGATGCTTTTAAAAGGCATAGAATTCTACTGGGAAAAAAATATTTAAAGTGTTACCAGTATGCCTTTTTTTCCACCCACAAAGACGGTCTTGATTTTCAGAGGTTCTGAAACACCTTGAAAATCCTGATCACTCATAGAGTTTCTTGTGCAAATAGAGGCAACCATAACGAGCTAGTGACTCTTCAACATTTAGTTGAGACAGCTATTTCCTACTACTACAGAACTGAAAAGCAATTTTCTCAGGTTGCTTCTCAGCCTTGTCATTTGATACTTAGGTGCACGCATGTATGCACGTGCGTGTATATCAAAAAGACCTTACTAGAGTGACTATTCTACACCAATTAGATCTACGGGAGGTTTTCCCCAGCATGGAACTGCTGCTTGTAAAATGCATATGATCAACAGCAGGTCTGATGCCAGTCTGAGAAGAATTCCTGGACACTCTGTGGCCTCCAGGTCAAATTTTGCCCTGGCTGACACTCCACAACAGCCACAGAGCCAAACAATTGGAGGACATAATAAATGAGGGATGATGTATATCTATTTCTGCTTTCATTCCTCTTCTCTAGCAAATCATTTTAAGAACAAGTAAAAGACAATGGCCACTTCTGTGTTCCCATCTTTCTGTTAAAGGAATTTTCCTGCTAGACACAGTATTCTACTAGGAACTGTTGCGAAAATAACTTGCAAAAATTGTTTGGAGATTCATTTTCCAATGCTCTGAAGCAACTTAAAAGTGGGATGAACACATTGTTCTTTACAGATCCCATGACAAGACATATGGCTCATACCCTCTCATGTCACGTTACATGATCCGATGGAGGAGCAGGTTCGGGGACATTCCCACAGAACTGAGTCACCCAGGTCTTATGACCCAAAGCAAGCGCCTGGGCTGCAATAGGACGTTTCCTTTCTGATCTCTCCTTACAGTGTTGAGGCTTTGTAAATTCCCAGGAGGATAACTTGAAAAGGGGAAATGGAGAAAATGCAATGTCATACTGAAAATAGGGGACAAAATTATGCCCTGCAGAACTTTTGTGGATGCCGGAATAGTTCAGTGCTGGCCTAGCTAATCCAATATGCCTGTTCAACTTAAAACCATGTGGCTTCATTCATTAAAAAATAAAATAAAATAAAAATTTTCCTTTTCCCTAAGGAACCCCTTCCACCTATGACTTGACTTCTTCTAAAAATTAGCAATTTCTTGTCGATGAGTGGTAGCCCTGATATGGGAAGGGGAAAAAGCTTCCATCTTGAGTCAAAGATGTTTAAGTCTTCCCAAGTAGAGTCTTGTTAAAACTCAGAAGTTAGATCAGATCCACCAAAAGGTTCATCAGTTTCCAATACTCCAACGTAGCCCTGGGTAACCAAGGAACCCCTAAGAAAATGGGCCCTAATGTAGTTTTGATTGGAAAGCACTTGGTACCAACTTGTCCTGAGGCCACAGGTTGTTTTAAATTAATACCAAAACTGGGTTTGCATCCTGGGAACTGACGCTGCTTCAAATAAAAGGAGCACAGAGCCACATGTGCATCCTGAATTACTTTTGAGAAGAAAGGTCCTACTGTAAATGCAAGCACGCTCAGAGCACACACAGCACCAGGCATAGCTACGTGAGTTATTGCGCTTGGCCACAGACATTGGCTGAATCAGGACAAGGGGTGAGCCCTTGTAGGGGTAACAAACAGGTGCCTTCTTCATGCTCACCTGGAACTTTAGTGAATTTGTTACTTAGGGGTAGGAAAGAGAAGAATCAGGAGCATTAGCCTTTCATGTCTACTCCTTACCATGTTGGACCAAGTTTACTGTAGATTTTTGCAGACTCATCAATGTCAGTGAACAGGAAAAAATTGCCCAGAACTGAATTAAGCCTTTACATATGTCAGTTTAAGTGAATCCTCTTCCATAAGACATTTATTTCAACTATTAATCTGACTAAAACTTACCTAAAGAACAGTAGAGTCCAACTTGTTCGTATCCTTCACAGCAATCTGTTAGAGTGATGGTTTCAGGGACTTCAACAGTACGATACTGCGTTTTATAGTACGTCCGGGGACACACCATCCACGGTATCCATCCTCCACAGGAAGTGCTTTTCTCATAGGACTTTTGGTAGGCAACCGTTTTAAACACATTTTTGGTCAGGCTATAGTTGCACAGATGGTACCCTAGCAAAGAAAGGCCTTTTTCTAGGGAGAAATAAAGAAAAAAAAAAAAAGAAATAATAAAAATAACACAACCAAACAGGAAAGAAAGGGATCAGCACTAACTTGTCGCCCAGAGCATAAGTTCCCTGCAGTATCCAGTTTTAAAATAGCTTTATGAGAAAGCAGTGACAGAACCAACTCAGATGAATGATTTCCAGGAAGGCTGATGTTAGGAAGAACATCACTTCAGAAAATGGACAGAAGAAAGAATTAGTAGTGACTGCTTGTCATATGCATCACTTCAGTCATAAAAGGATGCAGATTGGCAGAAAATTCAAAGAGCTCTCAGCGCCTTCAGGTGCAAAGGAGATAAAAGGCAATTTAACTCAAGTAAGTATAAAAGAAATTAATATATGTTAATAGAAATTAACAGGAGAACAAAATATGCACTTCCAGGGAGAGTAATCCAAGTACTTTAGATGTCCACTCCAGGCTTACGCTGCCAAATTGTTCATTTTTCTCTGCTGACTATAAAGGGAATGAAGGGCGAGGAGCTCATGGGCAGATGAGTCACAGTAGATGTCTGGAATAAGACATCCTTCAGACATCTCCTTAGGCTAAAACTGGGTACTCATGCATCATTGGGAAGGTATCTGACACAAAAGGTATTCCTTTCCTGGAGCTCCTATGTTGCCTGCATTTGTAGCAGACGGTATTAGACCAGGCCCTTTGAGAGCTGCTGTAGTTCAGTTGACTTCAGTATAAATGAAGTCAGTAATAAGTTCATTAACTGCATAATTTCATGCAGGTCTGGGAATGGGAGTCAGTTTCTGAAGTTCTGAAACCAGTCATGACAAGGAGTGACTTGTTACATGCTTTACTTTAAACTGAAATGAGCAGGAACAGGGCAAAAATAGAAAACCACCACAAACCCAACAACAACAGCAACAAAACCAGATGGAGTTTAAGAATTAGCAGCAAGCAATCATGTCACAGACATCAGGCTGTCTCCTAATGAGATGTCATAGAAGCCAGAGGGGCTGAGTCACCCTGCGTCCCATTTGGGAAATAAATGGGATAGAATTAAAATGCCTATATCATCCTTTAGATGAAGCAAAAGAAACTTCAATAAGGATAAATATGAATTAGCTGCAGGGATTCAAGTATGGCAGGATTGTTATTTCTGAGAGCTCTGAAGGGACCGGGGCCAGTCAACAGCCAGACTGGAGCTAACATAGTATACACAAGAAGGATACAATTAAATTATTTACAGCTTGTCTTATTTATACAGTTTATCTCCTGCATGAAAAGATGAAACGTAAAAAAAGAAAAGAAAAAAAAAAGTGGGTTTTGCTCAAATAAGAACAGCCTGAAAGATATCCCTACCTTAGATATTCAAAAGGCCATGAAGAAAAATGGATTTGCTTGGTGCAGTTCCAAACGGAGGCACAAACACCTCCCTGCAGACAAGGGCACTTTGGAAGAACAGACGAAAGGAGAAGGTAGCTGGGACTGACCATGGACCAGCCTCAGCCTCAGCCTTCCTTCTCAACTCATGTCTGACCAGGCCCAGGGAGAGCATCAGGCCTTGGGAGTCCAGCCCTGCTCTGCCTAACCCATCTGTGCCTTCACCCTAAGGCAGAGTTTGATGCCTACAGAGGGTGCCTGAGAAAGCAAGAGACCTCCCAGCAGGCTCCAGCAAGCCCTGTGCTGCTGCTTAGAGCAGGTCAGCAGGAAAACATCAAGAATAAGAGCATATCTGGAAATCCCACTCCCTGCTTTCTCCTCCTCCCCAGCCTCAAGCAGGGTATGTCTGTGTTCAGTCCCTGAAGACAGAGACAGCAGCTGAAAGGCCTTCACGTCCCTAAAAAGCACCAGGGTTGTCCTCTGTCTTTAAGAAGAGAGTGAAAGGAGGTGGTCATGAGGAACAGGAAGGAAGACACCAGCCTGTCTCAAGCTGAGGGGCTGAAACCCACACCCTGCCTGACCCAGGAGAGGACCCCAATGGCCAGGATGGACATCTGACCAGGGCCAGGAAAGCCCATACCCAGCCGTGGGGGGCAGGTGGCTGCGCAGGAGGGAACTGAAGGTGAAGTAAGCCAGACAAGGGAAGGTGGCCTCCCTCCCCTGGTTAACTTTAGGACATCCTTCTGGGAGAGGGGAAAAGAGAACACATGTGGGTTCTGGAGCAGAAATTGGAGATCGAGGGCTGCTTTTTTATCCAGTGCATTTGATCAATTACAACTTGTGCCTTACAAGAAACAAGTAGCTGTCACTGCATTTTGTAAAGCATTCCCTTGTCACATGTTAACAGTGCTCCAAGAAAGCCAACCCCAGAAAATGCTTCTAGACATGTAGGCATGGGGGAAAAAAAATATCTTGTTTTAGCTTTTTTTTTTTCCTTTTTTCCCCGTTAGTTTGGGACCTGAATGGCTAAATACCCGAAGTGGAATGGAAAGAGTATCTAAAAAATTTTGGATCTAGCCACTATCTGGAGAAAGTGCAAACGTCTGTTGGTGATCAGAGAAAGTGGGAGGAGCAGGACAAATTTTGGAAACGAGAAAAAGAAACTGTTGTATTAAGGAATCATCCTGTTAAAGTATAAAATGATGTTAGACGGGGTAGGGCAGGTAAGGAAGAAGAATTCAGCCTGGCTCCTCATCGCTACGATCCCCCCACTTCTCCAGAGCTCACGTATTAGCATGGCTAGAGCAAAACAGGCATGGGAAGAGAACAACTGAGTCCAGAGAGCACTGAAGATTCGTGATGTCCGTGCAGAGCTGCGGCTGCAGCAAGGACATAGCACTGGAAAGCTAAAAATTCCAGAGCCAGCTGAGCTGGCTTAGGCTCTACAGCAATGTGCAACATAAATGCAGGTATGAAACCAAGAATAAAATGGTATAGAATTAGATACAGTTTATAATTAGAAGCTACAGCTGTCAGAGCAGATATGAAATCATATTTCATACTTAAACATTGATACTAGGTATAGAATGGGGCTGCCAAAGCCAAAAGAGAAGGTCTGAGATATGGCTATGGTGGTACAAAAAGATACCCTCACTTGAAGGGGTTAGCCTAAAGGTGACAGGGAAAGGTGCAGCACTGCCAACCTTGCCATCATCCATCACTCTATCCAGTTTAAAACAAGCTTTGACACTCACAGCGTTCAATTATTTGCTGACAGCAGTTTCCTGCTGAGCAATGTGGCTTAAATCAATTTAGGCTCTTTAGTAAATTGGCTTTCTGTTCTCATTACCCCCATCTATGGGATTATGGCACTATCAAACGGAATTAAAATGCATGGGCTGTTGTTTCCAGCAACACAAAGCTGAAGTCAATTGCAAAGCAGGGCAAGGCAGTCATTCACCTGACATTAGTAGGGCTACGTTACACCTAATATCTCTGGACTTTTGGCTTTTATCTTAGTAACCACCAGCTTTCAGCGCTGTCAGGGAAAGTATACATTTTACTCTGTTAAGCAAGAGCAGAAACAATTAAAGCAATAGAAACAGATTAATAGAAACAAACAGTGAGAGCAAAGGCTGAAAGGGAACCCTGCATTAGGAGCAGGCTGCTTTGAATTTGCAGTCAAACCCAGATCAGATCAGAGAGCACGATTAAAAAATCATCAATAACAAAAAATGCTTGATCACATTCATACCACAGACTTCACTGCAATTCTGGAAACTTCCCTGCCCAAGTGCCAGAAACACCACTGTCAGCTGCCATCTGCAAGACCTTTTTCTTGCTGGAGAACAGCAAGAGCTAAAGACAAGCCCTTCTTGTCTTGACATAACCTTAAAAGTAATCTGTTGGAACGGGTTCACAGAGGGCAGATTCAAACTCAGCTTTAAAATGCAAAGGCTCTAAAACATGATGAAAAGTAGATTAAGGGCTTAATTTTTTCTGGGTATTCCAAATCCTTTTTAAAGTCAACACCATTGACTTAAATGGTACTAGAATGGGTGTCCTGCTGAACCCCAGTCTGTAGCAGCTTCTTTTTTCAAGATGACTTTGACAGAATAACTGTAAAGTCTGTAAGGCTTTAAAAAATATGATTTGTATTTTAACCCAGACTTGCAAAACCACTTAAGTTAAAAAATGCAACAAAAAGCAGCCACAAATCACAATCTTTTCTCATCTAAATAAATCAAAGCAGAATTAAGAGCAAATTAGGATTTAATTCGGCAGTTACAATCTAGCAATTGGGTTAGGATTTTCCAAATTACAGCCCATACCATAGACGGAAGCTAAACATGTCTTCTACAGCCTCATTTTATGCATGCCTAGGAATTTGCCAGGTACATTACTACATAATTTCCTCCAGAAGTTTATTTTAAAGACAATTTTCAGAAAAATTTGCACATTACTGAACACAAAGCAGGAATCCGACTCATTCTTTCTGGGCACAAAGGAAATGACAAGGCTTATGCCTGAGGATGAAGAGCTGGGGACAAAGGTTGTATTTTGGTTTGGTTAGATTTTCTTTGTTTAACTATCAACAGATGATTTTTAAATGGTTGCTGAGACATTGCCAGTCTGGAGAGTGGCCACCTTGGCCGGCTTATTTCGAATAAAAAGATATCCCACACCCAAACTAAGCTGTCCTACACAACAGTCATGGTTCTCTGACCAGGTTTGCATCACTCACCTGTAATTTCATTTCCCCTTCCCTGCCGTGTGGCTGCCCAGAGGATGAGAACAGAAATAAGAGTGACCCTGGCCATTTTATCACCCATCCTGGATAAGCCCTTCATGACGCTTCGTTTCCAAGGCTGTAGAGCTCAATTGTCTTTACATGCAGGCTTTTGGATTAGGGGAAAAGGCGCTCTGGTTTTTTTACCTTTTGCAAGTGGGTGATAACTACTGGCAACAGAAACAAAGAGGCTCCGGTGGGAATTTTGCCGGTTCTCTCTCCTTGGAGCTCTCCCTGGGGAACCTTCCTCTTCTACCTGCTCAGCTCAACTCGGCTCCCC